TTCAGCAAATTACAAACCTTCACCACTATCGAGTTGAGCTATTTTGTGCTGTGATAGATTTACAACTCCAAGAACTCAACAATCGGTTCAATGAAGTCAATATGGAGTTGCTTCTTTGTATGGCATGCTTGAACCCAAGTGATTCCTTTGCAGCATTTGACAAGAAAAAGTTGATTCGTTTTGCAGAACATTATCCTTGTGAATTTTCTAAGTTGGATATTCTTGCACTTGACATTGAATTGGATACTTATATTAATGACTTGAAATCAGCTAAGGAATTTCTCGATTTAAGGAAAATCTCTGATCTAGCTCAAAGGTTGGTAGAGACTAAGAGAGATATTGTGTATCCATTGGTTTATATGCTCTTAAAGTTAGCTTTGATTTTGCCTGTTGCTACAGCTACAGTAGAAAGGGTTTTTTCAGCTATGAATATAGTGAAGAATTGGTTACGAAATAGAATGGGAGACAGTTGGATGAATGATTGTTTAGTTACTTATATTGAGAAAAATATATTTCGTGAAGTTCAAAATGAGAAAGTTGTAAACCGTTATCAAAATATGAAAACTCGTCGTGAGCAATTGTAAATAGTTTAGTTTGCTTTTGAAATAAAATTATTATTACATTAATAATTTTGAGTTTATTTTTTTACGTTTTTCATGGATTATACGTATCATTTGTACTTGTTGGTAAATTTATTTATTTTTTTGCTGAAAAACTAGAAAAAGAGTAAATAAAAAAAAATTAGTATTATTTTTGCCTCCACTAAGATTTCTTTCTGGCTCCGCTCCTGATATGGACACTGACAGGTCCTGAAGAACACCAGTTGGAATTAGATTGGCCAACAAGGCACAAGATTTCTGTAGGTATAGCAAGAGGTTTGGCTTATCTCCATGAAGAATCAAGATTGAAGATTGTCCACAGAGATATCAAGGCCACCAACGTGCTACTTGATAAGTATCTAAACCCCAAAATATCTGACTTTGGTCTGGCCAAGCTCGATGAAGAAGAAAACACCCACATAAGTACCCGTATTGCTGGAACCTTGTGAGTGCATGTACATTGTTTCCTTGTGGAAGTCTGTAGTACAATCCTCTTTCAAATTTTGGGTCTGTGCCAACATATGTCCATTTATTGGTAAATGGTGCATTTTAGCCATGAACCATCTTTCATTCTTGAATAGTTTATCAAGTACGTATTGTGACTTATCAATACATACATTTTCTGAATCCATATTTATGACTTTTCAGTGGATATATGGCGCCTGAATATGCAATGAGGGGCTACTTAACTGACAAAGCAGATGTTTATAGCTTCGGAGTTGTCCTTTTGGAGATTGTCAGTGGAAGGAGTAACACCAGTATTAAACCAAAGCAGGATTGCTTCTATCTTCTTGACTGGGTAGGTTAATCATCTTGTTCTCTTGCGTTTAATCTTCTGGGTTTTATTGTTGCTTTAATTTTGAATACTGACTTATGTTAGGCATGAAAATAACCAAATCTCATTCAGTGCTAGTAGCTTAGGCATCCTTACAAGATTATGTATTGTCTGTCATTACTTGGTATTAGACGGTTTTTTCCCCTTGCAGCCTTGCACACTAGGGGTGGCAATTTTCGACACGACCTGAAAACATGACACGAACCTAACACGAAATTAATGGGTTTGGGTTGAGGTTTCGGGAATTCGGGTCAGAATCGGGTTGGCCCCGATGAATCCGAAAAGAAAACAGGTCGATTTCGGGTCAACCCGTGATGACCTGATATAACCCGATATGACCCGTTTACGAATTAAAAATAATTTAATAAACATAAAAATAATTTTATCTAACTAAACTAAGTTATTCTTTTTTTCAAAGGCATTAATTATTTAATCCTAAATGAATTTATTTAATTTGTGTGAAGTTGAAATTATTATATTTGGACAAATAATATATTATATTATTTTTTACTTTTATACTGTTTTAATTTATTTTATATTTTGTTTGGGATAAAACACTTTTACGGTGTTTAATTTATTTTAGATTTGGTTTGGAATTATTTATTTAAATTTTTATTACTTGATTATGTAATTAGTTTTGTGAAAAATTGATTTTATTAGAAATTACAGTGATAAATTAATAAATTAAAATTGAGTTTCGGGTCGACCCGCCAACCCGTCAACCTGAAATTTTCGGGTTCGGGTCAGCATACTTGACCCGTCACGGGTTGGCGGGTCGGGTTCAGGTCAACAGATTTTCTGACGGGTTGACCCGAACCCGACCCGCCAATCTGATTTGGACCCGAATTGCCACCCCTATTGCACACGATGATTTTTTTTCTGCTGAAGGATGAAAGGAAACTAATGGAACTAGTGGACCCAAGACTCGGATCAAACTTCAACAAGGAAGAGGTTATACTGACAATTCATGTTGCCCTTCTTTGCACCAATGCCTCACCGACCATTAGGCCTAGCATGTCAACCGTGGTTAGCATGCTGGAAGGACGAGCAGTTAATAAAGAGCTACTTTCAGGCTCTGTTTTAAAACTCGGACCGGACCGGCGGTCGAACCGGGAACCGGCCAGATAGCCGGTCCGAGTCATATTAAAAAACCGGAAATTTAAAATCCGGTCAAAGCCGGTCAAAAACCGGGTTTGACCGGGAAAAAACCGGTTTTTCCGGTTCAACAGTAATTTTTTTAAAATAAATTCAAACTTTTTAATATTATGTTTTGACCCCCTAAATTGTTAAAACTTATTGATATACCTCAAATATTTGATACTTTATAAATATTGTCCTAAAATTTGATGTTATTTTTCAATTAAATTCATAATTTTAATTCTAAACTTGTTAATATTTATTAAATAATATAAATTGCTACTTGATTGTTCTAATTTCTTTGTATTTTCTTGTTAAATATATTTGAAACATCAAATATATATGAATATACATTTATTAATATCAATATATTATTAGATATTATATATATAATATTTTAATTTTTAAATAATTTTTATTTATGACGTCATCCGGTTCGACCTCTATCGACCCCCGGTCGAACCCATTGACCCCTGACCCCTGACCTCGGCCGAGTCGCTATCCGGTCCGGTTCTGAAAACATAGCTTTCAGGGTTGAGAGTCTCGAGCAACAAGGTTGAGCCCAGGGAGATTTCCGATCAGCATGAAGTACCAAATTCAAATGAGAGCTATGCCCAGCATCTTCAACATCTACCGGAGATTTATATCCAGTTACCATCGATTCTGATTTTCTGATGAACAGATTGTAAGGAAATTTGTCTGCGCCTTTTATGTTTCAGATTTTTCCATTCTTTCTTGAAATTCCACATAGTTTAGCAAAAGAACTACTCTAGTCAAGTGTAATCATAGAAACAAGGATGCAATCATAGAAACAGATAAATATAACTGGTACCCAAAATCACATCTGACTAGGATTGATATCTAAATGGTGAAATTACACTTTACCTCCATGGGGTTTAGTATTTTTTTTACATAACCCCCCTATAATTTTTAAAACTATACATAATCCCTTTATGGTTTGGATTAAAGTGTCAAAGTGACTGAAATGATCATTCGTAATAAGACATCACCTAAAATGTCAAAAATACCCTTATGTAAAGTTGAAAATTATTTATTAATCAAGGGGAGTTATGTGTATATTTTGAAAATCATAAAAAGGTTATATGGTAAAGTATTAAATTATAAGGGGGTTATATGATAAAATATAAAATCATATGGGGTTAATGTGTCATGTATTTATAAGGAAAATTTCCATATTTTTAAAAGTCCCGTTACGAATAATCGTTTCTGTCATTTTGACACTTTAGTTCAAACTATGAGGAGGTTATGTATAGTTTTTGAAATTAGAGGAGAGTTAGTTATGTAAAAAAAAAAAATACTAAACTACAAGAGAGTAAATGGTAACCTGCGCTGTCCAAATCCATAACATCATCAGCACAGGTATGAACAAGGTTTGCAAAATCGGGATTCTACGTAGGATCGATTTTAGTTTCACAGGATTGGATCGTAGGATCGTAAGATTCTACCAAAAACTTTCAAATTAACTAAATTAATTAATTTGAAATTTATATATAGTTTTGTACAACTTTAAAAATATCAAATAAGTAAAATATTTATAAACATATAATTATTTTTACCTATAGTTTGACAAGAAATAAAGCAATGGAACCCTAAAATGAAAAGAAAAGGTCCAAGCGTCTTATCTAATTAGAAATAAAAATACAATCCATCTTAATACATGATAGTAAAAACATTTAGTACACATATATAGTTGATAGGCATAATTAAAAGAAACAATCAAATTAGGGGTTATGGGTAATCGCGGTTGTTTTCATTGGGCTGGATAAGGATACAAAGACAATAGAGAATTAGAGATGGGAGATTGGCAAAATTTTGTGAAATTTTATTGAAATCTAGATGGGGAAAAAAGGTTGGAATGGAGATTGAGAAGAACCAAAGAAACTTTCTCTCTCTTCGTCCTTTGTGACTTTGTCTCTATTTGTTTTATTCATTTGTTTCCGAATCTTTTTTTTTTGTTTTATCTTTTGTTTTTTAGACAAAAATTGTTGCAAAATTATAATTAAAAGACCTAATGTTTTGATAAATAACAAACTTGCTCAAATAGGTATAATGTTTTAACAACCATGGGTGTGAATGAAGAGGTATGAAAAGTATTTTTTTTTTTTTTTTGATAATAGGTATGAAAACTACTTTGGAATTCTCTAGCAAGATTCTTTTCAACAAACTGAAAAGTACACTTATTGAAAAGTACACTCATCTAAGGGAGACCTACTAAAGACCCCAGGCAATTGCTTAGCAAGATTCTTACTTTGAACAGATTTATTCCTACCCATACGTCACAACCCATACGTCACAATCTACTGTCAAACCGAGACAAAATCTCACCAGCGGCTGACTTTTCTATTGTCATAATCATTAGAGTGTGAATGGGAAACCCGTGTGTGAAGCAGTCAATAATTCTTTACATATATTCAGCTTCTGTTTGGCATGTTTTTGACTTGGAATATAGTAGTATTGCTCTGCAACTACCTCTTCTTAATAATACTCAGAAAAATGTTTCTTCGGGGTCGCCTTGGATTTTCAGTTGCTTCAGCTGCTGCAATAGTATTCACCTTCTGGCCGGTAAAGCTTGCTTCAGGAGCCACTCTTGTACCAGATGAAGGTATATCCTTACCATACGAGTATGAACTTGGGTGCAAAGGGCAATAGTACCATGGTTGTGTTTGGACGGCAGATTATTTGTCCAAATATATTTGCTTGTATCGTTATTATAATTTTCAATACACTTTTTTATCTTCTCAATTATCTTTTTATCTCACGTACATCATATCACAAAAAGTGCTACAGTGAAAATATCTCAAATAATTTACAATCCAAACAAATTATTTGACTTGCTGTATCATACCAGATGACCAATTTCTGTTTTTGGATGTTGGGTTCTTCTAGTGGACGTTTTGAGGGAGATAGCAAAAACATTAGGGAAGACGGATTGGAATTTCGGAGTAGATCCCTGTAGTGGAGAATCAAACTGGAGAAATGCTACTGCACCAAAAGAGTTTGCGAATGCGGTTACTTGTGATTGTTCCTTTGAAAATAGCACGACCTGTCATGTCGTTAGTATGTAAGTACTCCTTACTCAAGCATGTACAGAGACTAAGAATCCATAAACCTGAACGTCTACATGAGAAGAATATTATTCTTCTTGGCCCGTGTTTTTCTTTACATAGAAGTAGCTCGCACACAAAATAGAAGGAAAAAAAAAAAAAGAACCATGATTCTGTTTCTACAAGTGATGTATTGCCAATTTTTTTAAAATTTTCTTCCGGGTCTTTTATCTGAGGTGCAGAGTATTGAAATCACAGAGTCTTCCAGGAGAACTGCCACCAGAATTGGTCAAACTCCCTTACCTCCGAGAGTTGTAAGTGTTCACCTTTCCCTATGAGAAAATGACTGATAAAATATGTTCTGAAACTCGGACCGATCATCGACTCGGTTGAGTTCAGGGATTAGGGGTCAATGGGTTCGACTCGGTCGAACCCATTCAAGAACCGGATAACTTCATAAATATATTTAATTTTAAAAATTAATATATTATGTAAATTTTATAAAAATATATTAATACTAAGAAATGCAGGTTCAATATATATTTGATATTTCTAAGATAGTTTACAAGAAAATACAAATAAGGTAGTATAACTAAGTAGCAATTTATACAATTTACAATTTAGCGCATATTCAACAGGTTTAGAACCAAATTGGAGGGCTTACTTGAAAAGTAATACAAGAATTTAGGGCTATAGCTATAAGTTCTAAAATCTTTTTAGGTGTAATAAGTTTTCTAGTACTCTAAGTGTCAAATCATAAAATTGATAAAATATTTCTAGGTGAATTTTTTTATTTTCTTTTTTTAATGTTTTATCCTTTTTTTAACTTAGATCTTCCATTGGAGTTATTTGAGAGAGATTTATGGTAGGATATGTGAAGAGATTTGAGAGTAATTAAAAGAAAGAATCAAAAAAGGAAAACAAAAAGGGTAAAACAGGTAAAAAAGGAAAAAATTAAAAATGCTCAGATTACAACAACAGTCAAAGGTCAGAAACGGCACACAAGATAGAGATGTTAATTCTTGGAGGCAATTATGTACAGCACATGTCCCATTGTCCCGTGGCTTTAGTTTTTAAGTGGTCTCCAGACCATCTCTTCTTTAGATCTCAGACTCCGGTTGAAGCGGTTCTTCCGGTTTTCCGGTCAAATTCGAATTTTAACCGAGTTTTTGTTTCCTGATTTTTTAAAGCAACTCGGACCAGATGCCTATCCGGTTTCCGGTTCAAACGGTTGAACCGGCCGATCCGGTCCGAGTTTCAAAAACACAGTGATAAATTTGAAGACAACATGGGTCGAAAATGGAAAAAAAATCAACCAACTTGACTGTTCCTTTATCTTCAATATTTGCTACTTTGATCCAGTGATGTCACTCGGAACTACCTTTCTGGTAACATCCCTCCAATATGGGGCACCATGCAGCTTGTTAACATGTAAGTTTTGCTCCTATTTTATTTTTCCCTATATGTTGTTGGAATTGATGCATATCTGGCTATGTAAGAATTCAGCGATAATGTGTAAGTTCGTGGTTTTGCCACAGTTCTCTCAACAGTAACCGCATATCAGGAACAATACCAAAAGAACTTGGAAACATCAGCACCCTTGCAAATCTGTAATGATCCCTATTGACACTTCTTATTTCTTTAACAAATATGTTTCAATTCTTTAATCAACTTGTGAATAATTTGTTTCTTGTCGCTTAATTTTCTGTAGAACCTTGGACTTCAATCAGTTGTCTGGAACTATACCTCCAGAGCTTGGGAACTTATCCCGCTTACAGAGACTGTAAGCCCTTGGAGTATGCCTTATTGGGATTTCTCTGTTTTCGCTGTCGGATTGATTGATTTCATTTGTGTTTCTCAACTATTAGGGAATGAGAATTCATCAGCATCTTTTCTCTTCTTTTTGCCTTTTATGTTAACTAATTTGGTCGCTTCATTGAAGAACTCTTACCTCGAACAATTGGACCGGAGAGTTGCCTAGAACATTGGCTAACTTGACTGCTTTGAAGGAGTTGTGAGTCCTCTTTTTGAATTTCGGTCCAATGGGTTCTGAATGTCCTACTCATTCTTTTCCTGTCTTAAAACTGATTCCTTCAAGTTCTTTGAAAAAACTGTAGCTGGATTGGTGACTGCAATTTCACGGGGAGTATACCTAATTTTATCGAGAACTGGAAAAGTATTGAATATCTGTAAGACCTTGACCTATTGGCAACAGTCAATATTTTCTTTAACTTCTGGTTTTCCTATAATTAATTTCTGCCGAAATGATTCATCTTATTGTTACTCAACTAAAGACTATATTACATAATGGCAGAGTGATCCACGGTAGCGGTTTAAAAGGGCCAATCCCACCTGGCATTGCTTCCTTAACAAATTTAACTGACTTGTAAGTTTTCTTTATGTCTTGATTTTCATTCTTACAAAGTAAAGTTCATGAATAAACAATACAATCGGCTGATGTTTCTGATCTATCGTTCTCTTTGAAAAATACAAACAGGAGAATCAGTGATTTGAGTGGAAATGACACAACTTTTCCTAACCTTCGCGGTGCAACTAATATGAAGACTCTGTGAGTGTTCTGGCATTGCATTGCACTCTCAAGGAAAATGACTATAAGTGGCATTGACTTGTTTCTCAATTGGTTGTGTAGGGTATTAAGGAGTTGCAATATAGTTGGGCAGTTACCAGACTATCTTGGCTCACTGACAAAATTGAGAGTCTTGTGAGTAGAATAGATATTTACTTCTTTGTTGTTCAAAGTTGAACTTCTGCATGCTTCTCAGGGACTTCTCCCTCACAATATGCATAGCCTTATACTCTTTTGTTAATGCAAAGTTGATCGCTCCTCAGAACTGGCTACTGATGACTGCCCTTTGTTGGGTATAATACTAAACGTTCAGATGCAATTAGTTGCATACTGTTCGTGTTTGTTTTTGAACCTTAAATTTTGATGCATCACAAAGTCAAGATTACAGCATTGTGATAATGTCCAAAAAGAAGTTTCCTTAGTGACAGGTGCCGAACCTGTGCAATAATAAGTACCTACTCGAGAAAAATACAGATTTTGTATATAGCGGTGAGTAGGGTCGAATCCACAGGGACTGGGGATAATTCGTTTCTTCTAGAGTCCAAGGTATGGGGGGTTTTGGATTAAATGCTAACTAAATAAATTTACTGCAGAAAATAATTGATTAAGAGAAATAATTAAGGGAAAACTCTAGCCAAGGGTACACTTCAGAAATGGTTCAGGCACTGATCATTGATTCACACATAATTCCACATTTATTAATAGACCAGTTATAGTTGTCATGCACGCAATAAACAACCAACCTTCCCTTAATTTCTCTATAGTTAAGGTACGACCGTTAACTATTTCTCTAACCCAAAAACAACCCTAGGTACGACCGTAGGATTTAATTTCTAGATTGCATTAATAATTAGAAAGGCCTAATCCTAACTAACAAACACGCTACGAGGGTTTGTTTAAGTTAGATCGTATGCTCCCCTGACATAAACCCAATTACGCCAGTTGCTACTGAGATAAAGATAACGAACAATTACGGATTCAATTATCCCTATTTAGCAAAATAGCCTATGTGAATAATTAAATATTGCGCATCTATTCAATTACTCACATGAGTTATAGCAATTAAAAGCAGGGAACATATAAATACCAATAAATTAAGGAAGCAATTAAAATAAATTAGATCTCACAGTAATTGTTGAACCAAATCTTCAGTTGTCCCCTTGACTTGAATTAAGAGGTTAGTTCTCCATTAATGGAGAACAACCATGCGAAAGAGCTAAGAAAAGGAAACTAAAACTATGCTAAAAGCCTAAACTAAAAACTATTGATTGATAAAAGTTCTCTGTACGTTTCCCCCTTTTTAAAGCCAAAAGGAAGTCTAATGCTATCTCTGGTGGTCCCCACACCAAATTCAAAGTCTTGTACGTTTCTTTTCCTAGAGTCCAAATGACTCATGCTTCTTATCCGTGGTCCCCGCACATGTGGACAAAGCCTCCAAAGTACTTGTTGTTCCAAATCTCTCTACGTTGCTTTCTTTGAAAAGCCCAAATGACTAAATACCTTGCACTAGCTTGTGGTCCCCACCAATTCAAGGACCCAAAGGTTGAAGCCCTTAGAAGTCTGCATTTTTCCATACAAGTCCCTCCTTTTTGGTAATTTTCTGCTTCACTCCTGAAATTGATTCCAAATACCAAATATGAGTAAATATCAGCAATTAACACAATATTTGTCAGGGATAGAAGGGAAAATTAATAATAAAAATACCAACAATTAACACCCTATCACTTAGATATGTGTAAGGATACCGACTCATATTGTATAGAGTAGCATTATAATCTATTAATTTGATATCCGGATATGCAGTAGGAATGTAGGAACGCAACAATAAGCAATTCAAGGATGATACAATAGCTGTACTCAATGTTAATCAACATTACAAGAGAGATCTGGTGGATTATTTATTTGATTTCCTTACATTTTGGAAAGACTTTGGCTCTATTATTCAGTAAGCTCAAAATCTCTATTCAATACTGGTTTTCTGCACCCAGCATAAGGCTTAAATTTTTCAAAAAATGAATGAATTACCCAGTTTTCCTTTTTTTTTTTAGCATAAGTGGGAGGTCTCGAACCTGGGACCTCTCACTTACATTCTTTCCCCCGTACTACCCAACTGATCTCTCCCCCACTGAGTTATCCAGTTTGTCCGTGTCTAAGATTAGGAAGTGTGCACCTCATTGTTTTACAACCTTGATCCCTGTGTAGGAAACACAAAGTGAAAGAGATGCAAATGATGCTTGGGTCTAGTTAGAAAAGCTGCTGAGTTGATAAGCAAAACCTCCCCTAAGGTTTTTGAAAATTGCACTGACCTTTGCTTTTGTACTTTCGATGATGACACGAAATAATTTCTGTAAGATTGCATACTTTTAAATTACAATAGCTTCCAGCTCTTTTGTCTTGGTTTTTTTCCATGTAAAAGAATTGGAGGGAAAGGATAAAGCTGATGGTAGGCTGGTGTAATTTAACCAAAACATCGGACTAGACATATATAAAGAGGAGTAGGGAAACAGAATTTATAGGCAACTACAGGTATTTGGATACAAGGACTTGGGCACTTGTATTACTTTGAGAACATCTTTGATGAACAAATGGTGCTATTGACAAAAGACTATGAACAATACCTAATCTATTACTCTTTATGTTTGTCTTGCAGGGACCTTAGTTTTAACAAAATTGATGGGCCAATTCCCAGAAGTTTAGATGCCCTATCAAACACAGTTTACATGTAAGTGATAGGGTGTTAATTGTTAGTAATTTTATTGTTAATTTTCCTCTTTATCCTTGCCAAATATTGTTTTAATTGTCAATATATATTTATATTTGGTATTTGGATATAATTTCAGAAAGTGGAGCAGAAAAGTGCTAAAAGGGGACCTTCTTGAGAAGATTTCTCTACGCGTGAAAGCTTCTAAAAGCTTTCCACCATCAGCCCAAATTGTGCAAACCAAATTGTGCAAACCAACGGAATTGCTGATGAAGAATTGAATTGATATGATGAAATCCACTAGCAATAAGAAATCAAAGCGGGGACCACATAGAAAGTTTGTTCTTATTGTGGGAGATATACTCATTAGCCATAGGTGGACTTTGATGATGAAAGTAGCTTTTCTATTTGCTTCCTACGTAACTAGTTCTCTTATAAAACTAGTGGAGAGGAGAATGAGAAGATAGCTGGAGAAGCTATTAGTTTTGTTTTGGAGTTTTCTCTCAAAATAAGCTCCGTAGGAGGATAGAGGAGTTTTTAGTTTTCTCTCCGAGGGATGTTCCAGAGGAGAGGATAGGGAGTTGTTTTGGTTTGTTGAATTCTAGTGTGTAATTTTCTTATTCTCTTCCGAGAGCTTTGTTATTCACTCTCTCAATTATCGAAGAAAGATGATGTCTTTAAATTCAATTGAATTGTGTGAAGATTTTCTTATGAGGCGTGGCTAATTTTCTCCTCTAGTCAAGGATCAACGCGAAGACGCAGTCCCAAATATCTGTGAGATCTAATTAATTTTACGTGTTCCTTAATTTGTTAATATTTGCATGTTTTCTATTTTAATTTCCATGGAATTATTTTGTTAATTGGATATCAAGGGCCCGATGTGCAATTTGACTTATTAATCTCCTGTCAAATTAATCAATTAAATCCGTAATTGTTTAGTTGGTTAATATTAGTGACAACTAGTATTTTCACATACTAGGAGAACATGCAATCTGATTTAAATAACCCTCGTAGCGTGTTATTAATTTGGGTTAGGCTTTTCTAGTTTTTAATGCAATTAGGAAATTAATTCCTACGGTCGTACCTAGGAGTATTTCCTGGTTAGAAGTAATCAACGGTCGTACCTTGGTTATCAATAAATTAAGGAAAAGCTGGTCGTTAGAGTTTATCGGCGACTATAACTAGCCCATTAATAAAATTAAGTGAACCTTCTTTGCATCAATGATCGGATGAATGGACTGTGTCTGCGTAGTTGTATCCTTGGCTAGAATTTATTTATCATTTATTTAATTGCTATTTACAATTGTATTAATTAATTATTTATTTTTGGTTAAATTATTTAATTATTTTTAGTTAAATTGTTTAATTATTTTTAGTTTATTTCTGATAAAAATCCCCCGTGTCCCGAACTTGAAAGGAATCAAATTTTTCCCAGTCCCTGTGGATTCGACCCTACTCACTACTATACACAGAAAATTTATTTTTCTCGAGTAGGTATTTATTATTGCACAGGCTCGACTCCTGTCAATTTTTGGCGCCGTTGCCGGGGACTGGCGTTAATCATTTGTTTCTTTTTAAGTTCATTTTTTTTCTGGTATTTTTCTAGTTTATGCCTCGTTCTTCTCGTACAGGCGAATTAATTTTCGACCCTGAAGTAGAGAAGACCGCGCGTAGAACGAGGAAAGAAACCAGGCGGCTCAGAGAAGAGCAATACGGTATTGCACCTCAGGGACTTGATCCAGAGGTTGAGCCGACAAATTTGTCTGGTGACAATTTGAGTGATTCAGACCAAGAGGAAGTCACTATGGCAAATGCACGAACATTAAGGGAGTTGGCTGCTCCTGATTTAAATCAACAGCCCTTGTGCATTACTTTTCCACATTTAAATGATGACACTCCCTTTGAACTAAAATCTGGTCTAATTCATCTCTTGCCATCTTTTCATGGTTTACCAGGTGAGGAGCCCTACAAGCACTTGCAAGAGTTCGACGTCGTTTGCAACAGCATGAAGCCCCCGGGAATTACAGAAGAGTAAATAAAGATGAGGGCCTTCCCCTTCTCTTTGAAGGACTCCGCAAAAGACTGGCTCTACTACCTACCGCCTGGTAGTATCACCACGTGGGACCAACTGAAGAAAAAATTCTTGGACAAGTACTTTCCTGCGTCTCGAGCTGCGAGCCTAAGGAAGGAGATATGTAGTATCAAACAACACCCAAGCGAATCTCTCTATGAGTACTGGGAGAGATTTAAGAAACTGTGCACCAAATGCCCTCAGTATCAGATAAGTGAGCAACTGCTCATTCAATATTTCTATGAGGGGTTGCTTTTCAGGGAAAGAAGCATAATCGATGCTGCAAGTGGAGGGGCGTTGGTGAACAAAACTCCTCGAGGAGCATGGGAGTTGATTGAAGGGATGGCTGAGAACTCACAGTAGTTTGGTTCAAGAGAGGACATCCCGACGCGTAGGGTGAATGAGGTAGAAACGTCCTCTATCCAACAGCAGATCTCCGAATTAATATCTTTTGTAAGACAATTACCTGTGGGGAGTGCCTCGCAAGCCAAAGTGTGTGGGGTGTGCACTGCCGTGGGTCATCCTACGGAAATGTGTCCACTGGTTCAAGAAGAAACTGCAGAACAGGTGAACATGACCGGCCACGCGCCCGCGCCAAGAAAGCAGTACGACCCGTACTCAAGCACCTACAATCCTGGTTGGAGGGATCACCCCAACCTTAGCTATGGAGGAAATAGGCAGTCTAACTTTGTGCCAAATAGACAGCAAGGACACCAACAACAGTACCATCCTCGCCCACCACCACCACCACCCCCTTCAAACTCAAGTCCGTCCATGGAAGAGATGATGAAGCAATTACTTGCTAATCAACAAAAGACGGATTCAAACCTGCAAAGCATGAGAAATCAACTGGGACAGGTACAATCATTGCAAAATCAAATGAATCAAATGGCTATAACAATCAACCGTTTGGAGTCCCAAGTTCAAGGAAAATTGCCATCTCAACCTGAGGCAAATCCAAAGAATGTAAGTGCAATGACTTTAAGGAGTGGCAAGGAAGTTCAAGGACCCGAACCGGTGATTCCTAAAGACAAGGACGAGGAACGGATTGAGAAAGAATTGGAAGAGGAGGGCACAGACAACAAAAATGCAAAGGTACCCTCGAACCCAATTCCTACAGCTAAAACTAATCCACCTCCCTTTCCTAGCAGGTTAGAGAAACCAAAGAAGCAAGACAAGGAAAAAGAGGTCCTGGAGATCTTTCGCAAGGTGGAGATCAACATACCCCTACTGGATGCGATTAAACAAGTACCCAGGTACGCAAAATTTTTGAGGGACCTGTGTGCCAACCGCAAGCGGTTGAAGGGGGATGAACGAGTTATAGTTGGGGAGAATGTTTCAGCAATTCTACAAAGAAAGCTTCCACCGAAATGCGGAGATCCAGGTATGTTTACTATTCCTTGTAGGATAGGTAATACTTTGATTGGAAAGGCCATGTTAGACCTGGGAGCCTCAATTAATGTCATGCCAAAGTCCATTTATGCTTCCTTAAACTTAGGCCCTTTGAAAGAGACTGGGATAATAATCCAATTAGCTGACAGGACCAATGCATACCCTGACGGGTTGATTGAAGATGTTTTGGTAAAAATTAACGAATTGGTTTTTCCAGTTGATTTTTATGTGCTCGACATGGAGGATGAACACTCCCGTGATCCGTCACCTTTGTTGTTAGGTAGACCCTTTTTGAGCACAGCCCGAACCAAAATTGATGTTAATAAGGGTACTTTGTCTATGGAATTTGATGGTGAGATTGTTCACTTTAACATCTTTGAGACCATGAAATATCCATCCGATTCAAATATTGGCTCTGTTTTCTCGGTAAATGTTATTGACAATGCTATACAGGAGGTTTTTGAAATTGAAGGCAGGGATGAACTAGAGGTCGTCCTGACCAGGCACTTTGAGTCCGAAACGACCTCTAGGGTAGAGTTGAGTGAAGAGCTTAAATGCGTGATTGGATCGTTGCAAACATTACCAACCACGAAGACAAGGTATGATCTTGCACCGATTTTCATACCCGAACCTCACCAAAGGTTACTTCCATCTGTGGTGCAGGCACCTGTCTTGGAACTAAAACCACTGCCAAAACACCTAAAGTATGTATACTTAGGTGAAGGGGAGACACTTCCAGTGATCATCTCCGCGGGTTTATCAAAGGTTCAAGAAGAGAAACTACTTCGAGTTCTTAGGGAACATAAGCAGGCGATAGGATGGACCATCGCCGGCCGACATCAAGGGAATTAGCCCTGCGGTGTGTATGCACCGAATTCGACTCGAGGAGAATGCTAAACCCGTACGGCAAGCTCAACGGAGATTAAATCCTCTCATGATGGAGGTCGTAAAGAAAGAGATTTTAAAACTGCTGGACGTTGGAATTATATTTGCAATATCAGATAGCCCGTGGGTAAGTCCAGTACAGGTGGTCCCGAAGAAGGCAGGGGTGACAGTGGAATCAAACCAAGAGGGTGAGCTCGTACCAATTCGAAAGCCCACCGGATGGCGACAGTGTATCGATTACCGAAAGCTGAATGCCGTCACGAAAAAAGACCATTTCCCCCTCCCTTTCATTGACCAGATGGTGGAGCGATTAGCATGTCGAGCTTACTATTGTTTCTTGGATGGATTTTTAGGTTATTTTCAAATTGCCATCGCACCCGAGGACCAAGAGAAGACTACTTTCACCTGCCCATTTGGAACATTTGCATACCGAAGGATGCCATTTGGATTGTGTAATGCACCTGCTACCTTTCAAAGATGCATGGTAAGTATCTTTTCAGAATATGTTGAGAAGATTATTGAGGTTTTCATGGACGATTTTAGTGTATATGGTGAAAGTTTTGAAAACTGTCTAGATAACCTGAAATTGATCTTAGTAAGGTGTATAGAAACTAATCTCGTGCTTAATTGGGAAAAATGTCATTTTATGGTTGAACACGGGATAGTTTTGGGTCATGTTGTATCATCTACAGGTATTGAGGTTGATAAGGCAAAAATAGATGTTATATCTACTTTACCTTACCCCGCGAGTGTGCGGGAAGTTCGTTCCTTCTTGGGTCACGCAGGTTTCTATAGAAGGTTCATCAAGGATTTCTCGAAAATTGGAGCACCCTTATTCCAACTTTTACAAAAAGATGTATCCTTCGAATTCGATGAAACATGTAAGGGGGCATTTGATAAGTTAAAGGAGTTATTGACCTCCTTACCTATTATCCAACCCCCTGACTGGA